CTTAATGATTCTATGATTCTGTGATTTCTGAATATATCTTAAACAAATTTGTATTCTCAATAGTCAGTGTGTTCATTTTAATTACGGAAGCGATCTATCCAGTTTTAATTAGTTATATAGAACTCCTGAAAAAATGTTATTGTCCCATCTGCAAGATCCATTGTTTTAATAAGAAACTCAAGATTTGTCATATTAAAAAATGACATTGCTTACAACTTGAGCCCAAGTCAGTTAGGTTGTTAAGTGAAGAAAACAAAGATATTTCTGAGACACAGAGCAAAAACTTTTTTTTTGTTATTTTGGTGAACTGTTGCTCCTTCTAGAAGGTTGAGTCCCATATATTTGACTTTTAATGTTTTTCAGTTTATTTGTCTGTCTTAGGTCTGTCTCTCTTGATTTTATCTGATATTTTTGTTATACCCTCTGGGGGTCTGAATGTGAGCTATTTCTATAAATCAATCATTAGTCATTCACTTTGTACCCTTAAGAACATAATTTTTTGATAAATCATTGTCTGTCTTGTTCTAGGTACTCTGGAAGTTAGGTTAATGGGCTGCCAAGATATTTTGGAAAACGTCCCTGGTCGATCAAAAGCCACATCGATTACGCTACCTGGTTGGAGTCCAAATGAAGCCAGATCATCTTTCATGAGCAGAACCAGCAAAAGTAAAAGTGGGAGTAGTAGAAACCTTCTGAAAACTGATGACTTGTCCAGTTCAGTATATACTTCTCTTATTTTTATGTATATCTTTTATTTATATTTTAAAGTGCATGTTGTGTTCTGTAATTTAAAATAGTAAATTGATTTGAAGCTTCAAACTTACGTGTTTCTTCATCTGTCAAGTTGTTAAAAAAAAAAATACAACCACGCTATTATGCCCGTAAGAACCAATTAAATATGAGATTACATTTTTAAGGGAAACTTACTGGAGATTTTTTTGTTTGTGGAAAATCCTCTTAAAGATTGAAGCTGAGTTTCTGTACTTTACTTACAGATGAAGTCTGTGCTGTACTGAAGCTGGATAACACTGTGGTTGGTCAAACTAGCTGGAAACCTATTTCCAATCAGTCCTGGGATCAGAAATTTACACTGGAACTAGACAGGGTAAAAATGTGGCCTTACTTCACTGACAGCTATAATGGATTCCTAGATTAATTTCATGTTGCTTTATTTTTTTTTTCCTGTTGTGATTACGTTCAAATGTCATATGTGCAAGTATTCCTGTCTTTAAGAGAATGGGCTCCCTGGGGTTAAGCTGCTTTGCTGGGCTGGCATTCTACAAATTTTTCATTTTCTGGCCTACAGACTGACATAATATTTTTATCCAAGATCTAACACTTAGCATCTTTTTAGCGTGTGATAGATGGTGCTTGAATTTTTATTAGGATCATCATCATCTATCAGTAAATTCTAGTATCAGATACAGTTTAGATATCTTTGGTAAAGCTATGTCAGAATTTTTACAGTGCTTCTGTGAAAGTGTTCTCATGTGAAGCTGATCAATTTACAGGAATAATAAATAAATTCACTAATAGTTCTTTCCTAGAGTTTTAAATGTTACTTGGAGGACACAAGTATTTGAAATTAGACTTGATGTTTCTTTCTTCACAGCTTTTGAAGAGAATTTGTTACATAGGTTTAATCAAGCATTTGTTTTCCAGATATATGATAGTCATAGTATTTCAAAGTACAAAGATTTTTTTTTTAATCAATGTTCAAAATAGACTGAAAATTAAACTATATTTTAGGAGCCTAAATGTCATCTCCCGTATATATTTAAAGCAAATGAGAAAAAAACCCACCACCAACAAAAAAACCTCCCACACCTTCCCAATTTGCTCTCACCTCACCCTGCCCCTCTGAGCCAAAAGCCAGATTCCTTCCATCTAGGAAGGAAGCAGTTTTAGAACTGCAGGTGGGGAAATTCAGGTTCTGGTTAGGAGTAGTGCAGAACAAAACTAGCAGCTGTGGAGGCCTGAAGCCTTAATTGCTCTCTGATTAAGACTAGACCTAGTCAAAGTTTAGTAGCAGCTCCCACCAGCCTAGTGTGTGTTATGTTCACTGTTTAGGAGATCAATATTTGATGCTTTTTGGTGCCAGAAAAGGACGTGGCTGCTGCTGGGCGTGACCACTCATCCTTCCGTGTTTGAAATGCACATTCGAAACCCCATCATGTTCTTATCTGTTGCTTCCTCTTAACTTTTGTTTCTTCTAAAATCTATAGTTATCATATAAAGACAGTAAATTGATGCATCACGATGGAATTAAACTGTGCTCACTGAACTTAGTAATATGCAATGCTGCTGTTGTGTTGCATTGCAGCATTCCTCATGTTTTGTAACAAGCATGTAAGACACCCTAAGAATATGTAAATCCCACTAGCAAGATATAGCAGTAGTTCTTGTTAAAGTTTTTGGCTCCTCTTCACATCCATTTTACAATAACTGTATATTTCTAGAGATACTGTATCAAGTCTTGCATCCTGATGTTTATGCGGGTACTAACATGTCACTATGTGGCCATGCAGTGCAATTGATCCTTGTAAATAACATGGAAAACTGGTAAAGTTGAGGTTTATAAACACATGTAAAAATGTGTTGTCAGAGCTTGAGCTAAAATATCTTGAACTAGCACTGGTGTTAGACTGACTCAAAAAGTCTGGTGACAGTTTGTGAATCTTTCCTTCTGCTCTTCTGGGAATTTTACCCTTTTATTTTATTTGTACGTTGGGGATCACATCTGAACTGAAGTGAAATGCTACGATCATCCTAGTGAGAACTTGCTGGGTATGGCCAGTTAACCCTGGCACTCTTTTAAAGTAACAAACAGCTCTGCCTCTTGATCCTTGAGTTGCTAGATCGTATGATTGCACAGAGGTAACTCTTGCAGAACAATTACTAATAAGTAATTTCCTGTGTATGTGTTTCCTGTCGTAGTCACGTGAATTAGAAATCTCAGTTTACTGGCGTGACTGGAGATCTCTGTGTGCAGTGAAGTTTCTGAGGTTGGAAGACTTCCTGGATAACCAACGACATGGCATGTGTCTCTACCTTGAACCCCAGGGCACTCTGTTCGCAGAGGTAAGAATGTTTCTTTGACATGCTCAAGCACACTTGCAAGTATTAAATTGCAGAATAGTTGAAGTTTTTCTTAAACTTTTAAAAATGCATTTTGTTCTGATACTTGAATTATAACACACATTATTTGAACTGCAGGTTACGTTTTTTAATCCAGTCATTGAAAGAAGACCAAAACTCCAGAGGCAGAAGAAAATTTTTTCAAAACAGCAAGGTGATTTTTTTAATATAAACTTGTAAAACTTAAAAATTGTACAGATCTGTGATAGTTTATGCAGAGACCTAATATTTGTCTGTGAATAGAGCTGTTGATAATGAAGGATTTGGCATTGCATTTAGAAATTATTTGGTTTAGAATTCCTTATTATGTATTAGCATTTAATAATGAATAATTTGGAATTACTAAGGAATATGACAAATTCAGTTTGTTCTTCATAAACTATAAACTGATTAATAAGATTTTTTTATAGCTTTTGGTAATAAGTAAGGAAATTACTTGCACTCTATTTTCTTTTTTCATAATATCCACAGGCAAAACATTTCTCAGAGCTCCTCAAATGAATATTAATATTGCCACTTGGGGGAGGCTGGTAAGAAGAGCTATTCCTACAGTAAATCACTCTGGTACCTTCAGCCCTCAAGCACCAGTGTCTGCTACCGTGCCAGTGGTTGATGCACACATTGCTGAACTATCACCGCCAGCCAGGTAGGTGATACCGACAAATTTTAAGTACTTTTAAGAGCAAGAGTAACAGTGAGATGCTTATGCCCTAATGTATTGTAACGTATGTAAAATCTGTTTATTTTGCAATACGGCAGACCTTTCAGTGTGTTAATTTTGGATATCCATTTTATAGACAGATATACACACGCAAGATGTGTTTTAGGAGAGATCTACGTAATGTGCAGGTTTAAGCTGGTTTTCATACTATTACAACAGTCTCTATACTACTGAGGAGTTATTTTCTTGACAGTGACTCTCCTGTAGCCAAATTGGACTTTGACACTGAGCCTGAGCCTCCGCCTGCTCCACCCCGTGCATCTTCCCTTGGGGAAATATGTGAATCTTCCTCTGAGATAAAGGCTTCTGATGTGCCATCTCAGGCAAGTAACTTTAACAAGTTGGGGTTATTCAGTTTAACACGATTGTAATATTGGCATCTCTCTGATGGATTTCTTCCCATATATTTCAGCATATGCTAACTAAACTTACACATACAGAATTGTCTCAATGCAATGCTCCAATTACTCTTGGTGGCACTTGTTTCCATCGTTGGTGTTTTTAACTCTCAAAGTTCCACCACAGAAAAAAACAAAAGCCCAAAATCATTAGATCATTCAGGAAAGAATGGTTTTACTAACAAAGAGCAGAATGACTGGAACAATAGGTTTCATCAGTCTGTTAAAACCTTGCTTATCTGTATAATCTTAAAGTATACCATTTCAGCCTAGGTAATTCTGTGTTAAGAATTTTGCATGCTTATACTAAAATTTCTGCATTCATTTGCCTTGGCAAGCAGTTTTAAATTTTCAGGCTTCTTTGTCTTCACAGGATGAAGGAACAACTTTTGATTTTGAAAATGGCAGAAATAGTATTGTCCCAAAACTCCAGCCTGAAATAATCTGTGAGCCTGATGCTCCCCATTCAGACATAAAATACACCAGCACCCGAGAGCCTGAAGATAGAAGGTAAAAATGCAGTGGGTTTGCTGTTGATGTGTATAATATTTCTTAAAGCTAGCAAACTAGAAGATTTGTGACTGGTTTTTTATTTACATAGATCACAACAAAGATTTCAATTCAGCCTCAAGGATTTCAGATGTTGTGCTGTACTGGGCAGAGGACATTTTGGAAAGGTAAATGTCAAAAGCCTATATCAAATATCAAGGCTGTATCAAAAACTACATATATCTCTTAAATGAATCATTTATCTTCTGTTTTAGGTGCTGTTGGCAGAGTACAAAAACACAAACGAGATGTTTGCTATTAAAGCCTTAAAGAAAGGAGATATTGTTGCTCGTGATGAAGTAGACAGGTCAGTTTGTAAAATAAATACGTGGATTCCGTACAACAACTGTGTTTTGTTTCCACATGCAGCACAACTGTAAGCTCTCCCAACCAGGAGCTACATCCAGGGATAGAGCAAAAGAAGTTGTCATCTCCCTGCTTAGCTGGCTGCAGCAGATGTACAGTCGTTGTTCTGGGGGAAAGGAGGGAGCAGTGTAGCCCAGGAATACCAATTCCTGTCAGTGCCCCTCTTACCGTGCCTGTACTGCAGCTCTGACTTAAAGCTGATCCTGTTTTTCATTTAGGTTCTCTTGCAGTCATTTATTCAAATTACTTGTTTATAGACTTTCATCACGTTTCAGGAGGACAGTGACTATGTTTTCCTTACTGGTAGAAACACCTCTGGTGGTATTTCTCAACCTGCAACGTACTGTTACACTTTGCCCATCATATCTTCCCCTTAAGTTCTGTGTATACTCCAGTGTTTGTTTTGGTTTTTTAAAAGTTTTTGCCCCAAAATTCTGATTTTTCTTTTCTTGGAAGTGAAATGTCAGTTACAAAACTCTTGGTTTAGTACAAGAAGGTGCTTTTACAACTGTTTAATAGTGACTACATTCATTTGACTTGCAGGAAGAAAGAAAACTGTATGAAGAATAAGCTACAAATTAACCGGTTGGCTAAAGGAGAAAAAAAATAATCTGGAATTACTATAGATAGATGTCTATAATATTGTTACTGTTTTTCCATTGTATACAATGAAAATAAAAATGGATGTAAGCTAATGTCACATGTTATTGATGCATACTTAATGCAAGTCAGTATTTGGAAGGAAAATTGGCAATTTTCATGGACTGCTAGGTTTCCTTTTCCCTTTGTGAAAGCTAAACGCAACTTTGTGGAAAACCTGGCATCAGCTTAATGTGTGTGTAAGTATTAAAAGTGCTCTCTCAAAACAAAAAATGTTTTTACCTTATGCTGAGGAATAATAATGTATAAATTACCAATGGTTTCTAAGAGTTGAAAAACTGTGGTTCAGGATTCAGCTTTATACTTGTACTGACTTTCTGTACTGATTTTCTGTTTGCAGCTTGATGTGTGAAAAGCGAATATTTGAAACTGTGAATAGTGTAAGACATCCCTTCTTGGTGAACCTTTTCGCCTGTTTCCAAACCAAAGATCATGTTTGCTTTGTAATGGAATACGCTGCTGGTGGGGATCTGATGATGCACATTCATACTGATGTCTTCTCTGAACCAAGAGCAGTGTGAGTATCCATCTTTTTTTGTGGCACTAAGGGAAGGGCATGTTGTTCAGTGGATAAGAACTAAGATCTTTATCACCACGTGCCTCTACATTATTTCATTTCAGTAAATACTGTTTAAGTTTTTTAAAAGTGTTGGAGATCTAACTGATTCTGTTAGAAAAAGACACATGGAGGTTTAATGTGCATTAGTCCACACTGCATTCAAAAGTTACATACAAATATTTAATGTTTATAATACTTTTTTTAAAAAAGATTACACGAAAAAGCTAAATGAAAAGTTAAAATAGCAAATGAGACTAAAATAGGAAAGAATAAGCAAAATTAGAAATCCTTCAATGCCCTGGCAGTGGACACTACATAAAATTTCTCCTCCAGGCCAAGCAAACATGCTACAGCTTGAAAGCTGCAAGTTCAAGCATTTTTGCCTGAAAAAACAATGTGTAATCTTCAGAAGATAGTTAATAAAACAGAACAATAATAAAGGACTTCACAGTCTGAAAAGCAAGACTAAAATCCATTGAAATTTTAACTTCAACTTTTTCAACAGATTCTATGCTGCATGTGTGGTTCTTGGACTTCAGTATTTACATGAACACAAAATCGTGTATAGGTAAGTAGTCATCGACCCGTTTCCAACAGATGAATTTCAGCTATTCTGATAGCACTGAAGAAACAGCACTGATGCCATTCTGTTCTTAAATGTTCATTTAGAGATTTGAAGTTGGATAACTTATTGCTGGACACAGAAGGCTTTGTGAAAATTGCTGACTTTGGTCTTTGCAAAGAAGGTAACGGCCCTTAGATTTTCTTTCTAGGGGAATTCCAGTCTGTCTTACTCTTGACTGTTCCTTGGGGCTTTTGGACTGCCAAATCTGTATAGTGTATACTTACCCTGTATCACTGGAAGGAAAAATCTGATTGTACAAGTGTGGAGATCGGAGGAAGTTCTATAGTAGGGAAATACCAGGAGCATCTGAACATAGCCATGTTTTTTAAAATTTTTTTTTAATCGTGAGCATCACCTATTCTGATTCTTATTTCATCATATCTCTGCTTATTAATAAGGCATACTGCTGCATTTTACAAGTTAGTAGAAAAAGCATTAAGCGTTTTTCCTCATTCTGAACATGCTGACACTGTACAATGAAATCAAGTACCATTATAATCCATACCTCACTCTTGCTTTTTTACAAATTCACTATTTTTTAAACTCTGAAATAGTTGCTATGCTAAGTATATGGAAATGACATGGAAAGTATACCATAGGTAAAATAGATAAATGTATCCCAAAAGGGAAGCAGAGATGATAGAAAGTTACTTTCAAGCATCCCACCACTGGTGTGGTGTGTATAACAATTCTAACTGGATGATTACTGTTATTGAGACCTTGCCTGTATAATAGTATTCTAGTTGTAGTATTTTTTCTTTCTTTTTTTGTACCAAGTAGATCTAGATTAATGATGACTAGACTCTTAAGACTGCAATTAGTAACAGTAAATAGGCTTTGTACCTGTATGTACATAACATGTGCTTCCTCTTTGCTCTTAATCAAAATATTGAGTGTAACACTGTAAGATAAGCTTTGAATTTGGAGAGTCTTGCAGGAACATAAACTCTTAGACTTTAAAGAGAGTTTACCTTTCAAATAAGCCATAAAATAGAGGTAGGGACTGAAATTTGAGTGTCTTTCTCAAACCCCATTGTGGGGGGAGATCTGGTCCATTACTTTCTCAAATTTGTACAGCTTGTCCTCCCTATCTTTTCCTTTTAGATAGCTTAAGAGGGAATTCAGTAAATTTGGCAGGTGTTCAAACATTACTGCTGTCTTTAATATTCTAGGGCAAGTCCTGTGACTTTAGCTACAAACAAGTTCCATAAATGCCAAAAGGAAACAAGGACAAGGAAAGCTTGTTGGTTTACTGACTACTGCAGTAAATAGTTATCTTATGCTTTCTGCAGCACCTCTACTTGTAGTGTCACAGCAGTCTGTGAGGTGCTGATGTCCCAAACTGACACTCTTGCAGATACATAAGGGCTTATTTTGCTCAGAGTTGTTTCATTACACTCCATGTTTTACTTTATGTAATTTTGCCACTACAGAAGCATCTATAGTTGGTGCGTTTGACTAGGGTACCACATTTTCTTATGCTACCTAGTAGAAATACAGCATAAGATTGTTTCTATCTTTCCAAGCAAAGATAACTGGGTGACAGAGGTGTAACTGGAAGCTTAATTTGGCTCGTTGCATATAGATAGGGATAGAAAAACTTATATTGAAGCACACATGGAACAAGGGTGTGGGAGGAAAGAATGGGGGAACATTTACCTCATTGGCCTGAGCCTCCAGGACAGGCCCTGCAGCTGCAACATCGGCTGAAGTTGCTCTAGAGGAGGAATAGGTTGTAGAGTGGCAGAAAATACTGCTTGCTTTTCATTAACTGTAACTTTTCAGGAATGGGATTTGGAGACAGAACAAGCACATTCTGTGGCACACCGGAATTTCTTGCTCCAGAGGTGCTGACAGAAACTTCCTACACGAGAGCTGTGGACTGGTGGGGTCTTGGTGTGCTCATCTATGAGATGCTAGTGGGTGAGGTAAGTTCTAGTAAGGTACAGTGGAGTCATAAAATTAATATATGTTAAAAAGGTTACAAAACTCACGATACCAGCATGTCAACATTTAATATACCCTACCTGCCACAGTCGTATCAATACTTGTATACACAGTATGTGTAGGCATACCGAGTTGTAATGTGTTTCATCAAGAGAAAGAAGTACTAAGGTACTTAACTGATACTAGCTGCTATAATGCTATAGAAATTGAGTCGTGTCATGAGCTTGTTATCAGCAATTGTGGAAGTGAATTAACTGTAGCTGGTCCCAGATCTAACTAACCTCTAGATTTGTGGTTTACTTTGTTGTTAATTACACAAACTGTAACTCCTGCAGCTTGAATGGAAGTGAAATTGAATTCATAAAACTGGATCGTAGTGAAAGATTATGCCAAATGCAATGCTGTTTACCATTTGAACTACGCATGCACTACAACAGAATGCCCCAGTTCCATGTAAAGGAGCTGGTATAAATAAATTACTACTGAGTGGTTATCTACCATGGCGTGTATTCTTTTGCCTTCTAGTCCATTTTGTTACCGTATTTCCCAGGTAGCACATGCTTACATGCTAAAAACTGGAGAAAAACTATAGATTTGCTCATCATTTTGTTCTTTTTCAAAAAAGATGATCATTCAACTTCCTTTCAGGTAAAAAAGGACAAAAGTCTTGTAGGGTGTCACCTACGTCTGCCAGGCCACTTCAAAACCCTTGAGCTGTAACATGCTACAGATATTACAAAACCGAATTAGTCTTGACCATATTACTTGTGAATGGCAGCTGTACCAAAGAAGAGCTGATGCACACTTTCCATATTCTCTGTGTCTCTTGCATCACAGTTCAAAGAAAATGCCAGTTTTAGGTGTTTCTACTTCTAAAAGCACATTTTTAAAGCATAGTCCTTCAGTAAAAATCGAGGGATAATACCAATTTGCCTTACTTTCGTCTCTTCCTGATGGGAAACTACTGCATCTGTTTCTGCAAAAAGGAAGACTTCTTTTCAGGGTGTCTAATTCCAAACTGTCAGCTGAATATATGTTATTTTCAATTGTAAGGGATTTTTAAGGCTAATAGTATTTTTTTCATTACAGTCTCCCTTCCCTGGAGATGATGAAGAAGAGGTGTTTGACAGTATTGTAAATGATGAAGTGAGATATCCACGATTTTTGTCTACAGAAGCCATCTCCATAATGAGACGGGTAAGAACATAATAACAGTAATATTACAGTATTCCCCTCTTATCCTCTTTCCTCTCCAACGTTAAGAAAATAAACTACTTTTGTGAGGAACAAAATACTTTAAGAACCCACGTTTCGTATTCTTTTTCTGCAATTAAATTTCAGAGTTGTTTCATTTATGCTCTGCTATGCTGCCTATCACCTTAAAGAAAAATTGTTATTGCCATTCTGCTTTATTCTGGAGCAAGTTTTTCTTTTTAAAATGTAAAACTCTAGAGACTCTGTTTTCTCGCTGAACTAAGTTTCCTAGTTTTATCTTACTAGAGGAGTTCAGTTCTCACTTCCTATCAGAACACTGCTGCATTAACCTATTTTGGTAGATTAACATTGTCACATGAATATTTTAATTCAAAGACTTCTAAATCTTTTTGGTTTCATTCCAAGTGGGGCAGGGAACACTGTACACATGGTGTCTGCAGTCCCATTCTTGGCAAAGAACAGCTGATTTTGTTAATGACTGTTATTAGTGCTATGCCTTAGTGCAGTGCCTTTACTTATCTAAAGAAGATGCTTAAAGCTGTTGTAAGTTAGAAGCTCCTCACAGTTGACAGAAAGGCATCTGCTGGAGGGGATTCAAAGCCTCAGGAGGCAGCCTCTCCCCTTACATGTGTGACACTGAGTATCAGTCTAGCACCCAATTCAGCAACATGCTGCAGCACAGTAACTACTGTGACATAAGTATTTCAGTAATAGTACAAATATTCTGTAGCTTAAAATTATTGTTTCCTCCTGGGAAAAGAGTGTTTGTCTAGAGGAAGAAGGAAGACTAGTGTTTTAAGGCAGTACCTGGGACGGGTATTTTTACTCTCATAAACTCTCATTCCAGTATCCCCAGGGGATGGCTACACTGCCCCCACAATCTGAACTTTGTGTTTGCAATTTACTAGTTGTAGCTCTGTGTGCACTGTTCCCATCTGAGAAATTACTACATAATATATTAGACGTTATTTTTTGATGGCTGCATCATGAATCTATCAACCCACCCTAATGCTGGGCACTCTGCCTGGACCAGGGGTCTACTCACAGCAGCATGATTCACAGGTAGGAGCAGCTGACTGCTGGTGTTAACTAGAAAACCCTTTCATTTGGCTTGGGTGTGGAAAGCAGCACTCAGCCCTCTCTCAGTAAATCAAATGCTGTGAAATAGCTGGGCCCAGGAGACAGCATAGTTGTCTCCCTTCTGAGACAAGCAAGAAATACGAGCTTATGTAAATTTTGTATCCTCTCCAGCAAGCAGCACATGTCTCAGTGTCTGTGTGCTGAACGCTAGCCCCACAGATCAGATCACCTCAGGTACCAGCCTTGGTACCACAGATCTGCAGTGAGAGCGGATTAGTTCACTCTCTGCATGTTCAGAGCTTGGCTGCTGGTGGAATTGCACTAAGAGGTTCAGGCATCTCTAAAAGAGCACTGCTCTCTCTCTACCTGTGTACATCTACAGCTGTGTCTTTTCCTTTCTTTGAGGACCAAGAATTTTCTATAGGTCAGGCAGTATGAATTTCACTGTCCCTCCAATCTTGGTGTTGGCTCTTGCACAGTAGCACTCATCCTCCCCAGTTCTTCCCCCTACCCTGGAATTTTTGCACTGAAATTGTGCATGTTTTGTCAGCTGCTACGAAGAAATCCAGAGCGGCGTCTTGGAGCTGGAGAGAAAGATGCTGAGGATGTGAAAAAGCATCACTTCTTCAGGGTGAGTACAAGGTGATATTATTTCTAAGGACACTAAGGAGTAGAGACAGGAAACTAAACAGCAGTTGGTTTATTTTACAGCTAATAGATTGGAATGCTTTACTGGCCAAGAAAGTGAAGCCTCCTTTTGTACCCACCATTAGAGGACGAGAAGATGTTAGTAATTTTGATGACGAATTTACCTCTGAAGCACCTATCCTCACTCCACCTCGGGAACCAAGGATACTTTCAGAAGAAGAGCAGGAAATGTTCAGAGATTTTGACTACATTGCTGATTGGTGTTAACTTCTCGACACTGTGAAACCCCAGCTGACTGGCTCACAAGAATGCCTCTCTCAGAAGAATACCGACCCTTTGATTGCCCTCTGTGCCACCTGTAGCTTCTGGGTTTTTTTAAATCACATGAAGATCCTTTTAAGTACTGTTTTAACACTCTTGTGAAGAGTGGCCTCTTTGTATATTGTTTTTTATCTGAGCACTGGAAAGCAGGTGTATGGAGTTCTTAAGCCGAGTTGGTGAATCCAGGCTGTATTAAGCTTCCCACACATGGGCACACATGGATCTGTACGGTTTCTCTCACTCTTCCACAGCAGATGACATCACTTTAAGTATCTGCCTTAAGTGGGGAAAAGCAGACTTTGAACTAGGTAATCACTTATCTCAGCCACACTGAAAGAGCAGTTTGGGATACTGATGGCACTCACACAGAACATGGTTCTAGCTGGAGAAGGCAAATTATTTCAGTTCAATATTATCTTGTGCAGTCTATAAAACCACACATTTCTATGTACACCTTCAACTTGTGTTCTTAAAAGAAGGGTATTGAGAACAGATATGCCTTGTTTTGTAAATTTTCTATGGTATTTATTAGGAAAAATGTTAAACGCCTTGCCTTTGAGATAACAACAGCGTAAGTGCTTCCATTACAAAGAAAAATCCGAAAAGTTTACCAAAGCCACTTGCCAAACAGTTTTGCCTTCAAGCTTTTTAAGCATGGCTTAAAACCCTGGTTGATATGAAGAATGTAACAAGCAACAGCTCAGTCTAACCACAAAGAGCAAAGCATATGCATTTCCCAAGCCCATCCACTTCTGCCTTTCCCTCTCCCCAAGTTGACAGATCTGTTAACCAGTCTGCATCTAGCCACCTCCATGCCCCTGGATCTGCTGTACAATATCATATCACTTTTAGAAAACACAAGGATTTTCAATGTATACATGCTGTGAACATGTATATTTGGAAGTTGTAATGTATTCTTATGTCCAGGCAAGTAATTTAATTATACCACTTCATTAATTTTGCACAGTGGCCGAGTGAAGGACATAAAACTCTGAATGAAAAAAAATATTTGTATACATACAGGCCACTGAACTCCAGAAATTAAATTGGCAGTTACTGAGGGTAAAAGCAATATGTTGTAACAGAATGTATAAATATTTTTATGGAACCAGCGTATATTTTATAAACCCCCTAACACTAAAAGCTGTACCTAGAAAGCCGTAAAATAATTTAGACCAGACACTGTGCATACCTGTAAACCAAGCCCTATTTTTGGCATCTGGTGTTCTGTGGGCAAACATTAATTCCTGGAAAGTAGATTTCCCCTCTGGTCCTGAGCTGTAGCATCATTCCGAGCTGATTGCATATGTAATCTCCCAGGTTCATTCTAGCTGGGAGTTTGCTGTTTATGGGCTAAGACAGTGAGAATCAGCACTTCACTCAGAGAAGAAACACAAACCACTGGAGTGTGCAATGCTAAGGTGGTGGTTTAAAATGATGATGCTGGACAGACCTGCAGTGTCAGGCAGGGGAGAGGCTTAGGGAGAAAACAGAAATGGTTAATGGGTCTAAATCAAGGTATTCCCTCCTCCTGCCACACCCTGGGACCAAGGCAGGCATCTTTACCAGCTCTAGAAATCATGTCTGGCAGAGTGAGGCAACTTTTCAGCATCACTTGTTTCCGCATTCTAATTAATAAGAAACAAATTATGTTCCTGTATCTATCTGAAACCAATACTTTTGAGGTACAGTCAGTTCACCCTTTTTGGCTCCCAAATACATATTATATGAGCATCTAACAGGGTGCTTAACACTTACGGAAGTATCCTCAAAAATACCTTTTTGTAACTACATCTTGTACAGAAATCTTTTTTTAATCTAAGTAAATCACTAAAAAAAAAATTAAAAATTAGAGGGCAGGGTATGTTCACCCAGTTAAGCTGAAAGAAAGCACTAATTTTATCTCTGTAGTTTTTTAAATATTTTTAGGCAGATTAAGATTTTAAACCCTAGATTGTAAATATATTTTGCTATACTTTATCTGTATGTGGCTGCTCAAGCACTTTGTAAGGAAATTAGGATATTTTAGAATGGTACACTATGCATTAAAATGAAATGTGCCTTTAACAAATGTCATTAAGTGTTTTGCAGTCATTAATATCACAAATTAAAGTTTTAAATAGAGTAATTTGTAAATTGTGTCCCAAACATGATTTTGAAATATATTTTGCTATACTTTATCTGTATGTGGCTGCTCAAGCACTTTGTAAGGAAATTAGGATATTTTAGAATGGTACACTATGCATTAAAATGAAATGTGCCTTTAACAAATGTCATTAAGTGTTTTGCAGTCATTAATATCACAAATTAAAGTTTTAAATAGAGTAATTTGTAAATTGTGTCCCAAACATGATTTTGCTGTTTCTTGAAGTGGCTTGTCATGTTTTCTTCACAGGTAACTTCAGAAAATAACTTGCAAGCAGGAGAGGACACACAGAAACCCAGTCTCTCAGTAGTAGCTCAGTGTGCTCCCATTCTGTTTTTAAAAAATCAAAATACATCATTAACTCTGAGCATACCTTCTTTCAGGCTGAAAGAAAGTAGTCTCCTCTTGCTTGGGTGAGCAGTCCTTCTGAGGGGAGCAGGAGCAGACCATTTCTATTGAAGTCTGGCTGGCCTGAATCAGCATTCTTCCCTTCTCAGGCTTCCTTTGAGGGGAGGGAGAGACAACACTCACCTCCCCTCCTGCATATTTCTCCATTACAGTCTCTCACCATTATAGAGGAAAGCTCTGTAGGCAAACAAAAACCTCTACCCATCCCACACTGAACTTGTTCTTTAAGCAAAGAATGAAGCTTTCATTTCTAAGTGCATTTAGAAAATAAATCTTTACTCTGAACAACAAACTAAAATGTCACAAGTGCCTAGAGCCACTTAACTGCAATACCTAACTAAGCAAATCCTTCCAGGAAGGGCCGGCTCCAAATGAAGATACAGACAATTTCCAATATCTACTCTAAACTGCAGTAGCATTAATACAGGAACTGCCTGAAGATACTATGCCCTTGCCTTAGTTGTGTGTGGGGAATGCAACTCTTCAGCACTCCTG